TTACTCCTATTTTAGGTTGTAGATTACGCTGTTAAAATATTACCGTTTAATTTCGGGACACCCTGTATATATATGCTATCCCTATTAAAAATATTATTGTCATTGTATTTTTGATGACATTTTAACAAAATTCGGTCAATGTAAACATTATACAATAATAACTACAGCATAAAGGGTGGGTAATTTATAATGAATAACCCTGTTAGGTACCTAATAATTTTCAGTAAAAAATTTTAATTCCAACTTTTTTACGTAGATTAAAGAAAAATTTAATTTCGTGTTTTCTTGGTGCAGACATTCTGCGCCACACTGTATATTCAAATACAAAATGATGTAATTTTCTTTTAACACATACCTAATACAAATTTATTAGCAAAATTTAAATACTTGTTATTTTTGGTATATTTCTCCTTTAGACACACATTTTTAGTTTCATTGTCAAAAGATTTAAATAAAATTACCGGACCTATTATTATCTATTATAATTTGATGATCCCGAGTGGCCATAGCAAAAAGACGAAATTTAACCATGAAGATTTAGATGTCATTACTAATTTAAGTTTTACCAATTTAGAAAAAAAAAAAAAAAAAAGTGTTTACTCTTGGGTTTGAACTCACAACCTTCCGATTCATAGACGATTTCTCTAACTATTCGTTATGGAGCCTTACGAGAAAGTTTTACTTTTTAACGCTGATAATCAGATTGCTTTTAGTTTCATTAAAATCTCAGTTTATTTTTAAATATAGACGAATATCTTGTGGAATGCTACTATTTATTGATTCTTCACAATAATCACTATATTTAATTATATTTAATCTTAATAACTAAAAAAATATATATTGACAATTAATTTGACGGAATTGTCACTTATAAAGTTCTAACATCTGACGTAGAGGGCGTATCTAACCAGTAAATAAAATCGTTAGTTCAATGATTGTACCAATAGATGTCAGGCGCGATTGCCTCCAATAACTTTTACATGTCCATTATCCTACTATAGTTCTTCATACAATGCTAATGGTATGTTTTCGTTTTAAGGCTGCGACATTTGAGCCAGCGGTTTTGCAACAAAGCAAGTATTCAATACATTGTACATAGATGGCAATACCTGTACCTCTAGCTCGTATTACAATTTTATTTTCAAGCGTACTTGTTTTTATATCCAGGTTGCCAAATCTAGGTAGACAGATACCAATAAATTTTTTGAGAAATAATGTATTTTGGGATATCCAGTTTCAATTTAATAATTGCACTGTTACATGAAAAATTAATCTGTCAAAACTTGTACCTAGTTGGTAAGTAGTAAGTAGGTTAAATATGATAAGAAGAAAAAAAACATTAAATTTTACTTTAGAATAATATTTCAACATTTATTCAAATTACTGGTATATTGTATTCACTTGTAAATTATATTTGACGGTCATAATAATAATTTTAATCCTAAAGAACCGGGTCAATTGAACTTTTCCACATCGCAATTTTTGGGTTGGAGTTGAAAGGTATTTTATGGTTGGGTAGAAATTTTATTACTTTATGGTTTTCCCTAATTCGAAGGGTTTTGTTTACATTTTACCTAAAAATTTGCAAAACTTCTATAAATATAAATCGATTATTTTATAATTTGAATGATTCCTCGATTCGTTTCGATAATAAAATAATTTTTATTTTTTATGTCTACTTATTAGGTAATGGTACCTCTAAAATGTATGATGATATTACTTAAGTAAAATTATAATTTGACAATAACGTGATCGCTCATGCTTTTGTTGATTAGACAGAAATTGCGAAAATTAACAATCGATTGGATCGATTATTGTGAATTTCGGAACTAAGCAACTGGTAGTTGGCAACTAAAGGTCTGTTCCAACACGCGCAAAAACCGTAATATTACCGTACACGTCATGTGCTGTATACAATTTTTGGGTAGAGCGCACGATTTGTACGGTAATATTACCTTTTTTCGCGCGTGTTGGAACAAACCTCTACAAGCCAAAAAACTCAAATGTTGAAGGATTGAAGTCTAAATGACAAAACGTAAACAGTTCGTTTTTCGTGTTTGAATTTTGGCAGATTTTTGAGTGGGTGCTTTTTTTGTGCTTTTTTGTTATTTGTGATTTTGTTACTTTTATAAGACTTCTATTAGTTATAAGGATATATTTAGTGATAGTACGTTTTAGTAGTTAGTGTATAAACTTTTACCTAATAAAATATGGGGCATCATACAAATGTACAGAGAAGAAAGAGGAAGATAAATAATAAGTGCAATTGGAAAGTCATGTGTTCCCAAAATTCGTTTGATTCCAAAGTTCCTCAAGGAATAAAAAAAGTGTAACAAAAATTTAATGTTGAACGATATATAAAGGATTCATTTCCAATATTTTTGACATCTGTATTATATTTTAGGTTGTTTTTATTGTAATGTACTATAATTTTTTTTCTAATAAACTACTTTTTAATTGTTTTATGTCTAATTATTTTTTATATTTCCTCCACCCAGATCCTATCAAAAATTATTTTTGCAATAAACAAAAATATTTAGGTATTTTTGAATTAGTTTTTATTAAAATTGCTCATAAACCAATACAATTAACATAAATAAAACTGATTATAATAACTACTCCAAACAAACTCAAAATTAATCTTGCAGAAAAATATCCATTTGGCTTCAGTTCTTAAAATTTATTTTGAAAAATCGCTCAAAAATCCTTTTTTTTAATAACGAGACTGACAGAACTCATTCCAGTAGTCAAATTTGATATGGGTTAGTTTAAGTTTTTAATTGACCAGAGATGATTGGTATGCGATGTTTTTTCCAATCGTAATATTAAAAAAAATCACATATAGATCCAACTTATTGGCAGTCACTGTATAAAGCAGGTTTGAGAACGTACAAAACTATTTTTTTTTTAAATTCTTGTCAACTAACAAAAGCTTCCCGATTTTGTACATGGAGGAAAATTTTGTCACTCAATAAATATCTTTAAAACCATTGTAAACATACATAGAACGGCAACGTCGTATTATCATATGCAAGTATATTTGAACGTCGGTTCGTATTGTACTTTGAAATAATTTGACATGCCGTTTGCATTTCTAATTGGTCAACCATTATTTTGACATATGACGTTTACTTTTCGGATTGGCAACCATTACTTGTCGCCCAAGTTCCAATAGGCGAGTTCGGTCAGTCAGGGGCTGGAGCGGGACAAATTTTAGGGTGCTTTTAAATGACATTTAAGCGTGTTAAACTGTCACTAATCGGACTAAACCTAACGGTAAAAGGGTCGTTTGGAGTTAAAAGTGTTAAAGGAGTTATAGGAACTTGGCAGACCGAACGCAATGTATGTATATGTTAACTCAGCCTTGCATGTCGCATTGGTGGTGAACACGATGTACTAAAATGACATGATAATTAACGCGTCAATTTTAAAAATTGTGTCAAAATTTGCAAATTGAAATCATGCTTTTTGTAATAATTATTAGACCGATAACCGTCATATTGAAGAATAGTTAATAAAAAATCATAGAGAATTCATTGAAAACAAATTGCTTAATAATCCTTGCAATAAAATGTTTCAAGTTTTTAATGATAATGTGAAATTATGATTAGTTATTATCGAATATGTTTATATTCAATTCATTCTTACAACATTGCTGTTTATAATTATAACTCAATTTCCTTGTAATTTTTCTTTATTAATCTAAAAAGCATGATTTATGCCGCGTTTGAGAATCCACATAGGATGCATTTTTTACATCTCGAGCGTTTTTTTATCCACATCGGACACATCTACTACATCTACATCTGCGTTTGTTTATCCCAGATGTACCTGTTCAGATTACATTTTTTACATCTCGATTTGAAATGAGATGTGAATGAGATGTTCGTTCCATGCCAGAAAGTAAATGTTCTGTGAAGCCAAGTTTGTCAATTTATCTTTTGTTTATGCTAGCATGAATATAAAAATGATTAGTTTGTTTAATTTTTGTTTATATTTCAAATGTAGGTTGATTTGCAGTCTCAAAAGTCAAATTTTATAATAATAAACTTCTAACTTGTCATTGACATTTTATCACATGACCAAATAAAGTCTAGAGCGTTTGTTTATTACATCTACATTCAGATCTAATTCTCTATCACGTGATAAAAAATTCACAACATCTCAGATGCATCCGATGTGTATTCTCAAACGCGGCATATGTAACACATTGTAAAATGACAGAAACGGCCGCCATTTTTAGTCCATTTTCCAGCCTTAAGAATATGCCTCCTATCAAGGGTAATGTGTTAAAATATTAAAAAAAGCAAATGAAGATAACTTAGGAAACAGTTTTTAATTGCCAACCGATTCCAACATCAGCAAAACTCTATGGGAGTCCCCAGGACAACACTCAAAAACAAAATAAGGGCGAAAAGCTCTCTTACCCATCAAATATGGGACCAGATTCAATTTCGACTTCTCAAGAAGATAAAGTACTGGTTAAAGTAAATAAATAAATGCATAATTTGATACCTTGAATCTAATGGATGCAGGAACAACTTATCTGCCATTACTAGGTCATCTGAATGTCAATTACTTAACCAAATTTCGCTTCAAATTTTAAGTTTTGTAAAATAGATATTCTTTTTAAAAAAACCCTTCCTTAAATTTATATACTTACTGTATAAATAGCTTTAAAACTCAAATTAGGCCAACATTAAAATAATGATATTATAATTCCACCACTAGTACAATTTACCTTATAACATTTTGATAGATATAGAAAATACACAAAATTTGAAATAATCTGCTTTTTTGTTTTTAAACTGTATTAATTGTAAGTTTTTAAATTGTAACCTCGTCCCCCTATTTAGATAAATATCGATACCTTTTTTGCCAGACTAACATAAGCAACATTTGTTCAAATGGCACTTATGATAATCTGGTAAAAAGGTATCCATAGGTAGAAAAATGAAACGAAAAATGTTTGCAAGTAAAAGAGTTTTTTAAATGCTTACCCTCATCTTCCATCATATTTTGTGCCAGCAATCGGTCCTGATATAAAATAAACAGCAATCTCCATGTGTTCCTTTCTTTTTCTAAACTTATTTCTTCTTCTATCTGAGTCACAGCAACTTTTGATTTTAAACTTTGAATAACCTTAAGTGCATCAGAACAACATCGAGCTAAATCTGTTACTATGTCTAGAACATCATATCTACCTAGAATTAATTGATTAACTATATTTGAGAGAAAAAAATTGCCATTTTTAAAAAAACAAAGCACCATGTTTTTCTAAAGTATTTTTCTAAAAACAATTACACCTCATTTTTAGAATCTTTGAATATATTAAACATTTCGATGATAACATTTGCTATTTTTGAAAAATACAGGGTGCTGTGATATATATATTTTTTTAAAATAACTATTTTTTAATAAAGTATTACCTACTTATAATATTTTAGGAGCCTAAAAATAGCCTAAAAAATGCCTTAAAAAACCAAGGTTCGAATCTAGTAGAACCTCGAGTAGAACCCTGTATTTTTTAAAAAATATTTTTTTTTTTTGAAAAGTTTTTAGAATATTTTAAAAGCCTAAAAATAGCCTAAATAAGTGGTGTTTTTTTTAGAAAAAAAGCTTTAAAAACCGAGGTGCTGTGCTGGCATCATTAGAAGCTAGCAAAATACTATTTTTTTTTTCTCAAAGTTTTATATTTCAAAAGCCTAAAAATAGACTAAAAATGTGGCATAAGTAGTTTTTTTAGAGGCTAGTAGAGTACCTTGATTTCTCCAAAAAATGAGGAGCATAAAATTTTTGAATATGGTATATAAATAGCCTAAAAATGTGGCACAGATTTCAACACAAAATTCCATAGGTGTTCTGCCATCTTTGGCATTACTATACTCATTGCAGACGATACAATTTTAGCATCTAATATAACTTTTCGAGATGAAATGCAGCATAAAGTTCCCTTAGTAGTTTTAGATTTAATGCAATAACAATTTTTTAATCTTAAATTTTAATAAAACAGTTTTTCTCTCCTATATGCCTAAAGGTAAATTCATTTATGTCTACTTGACACAAAAAACAAAATTTCTAGAGGTAAGTACTTAATGCTAGATAGTGATATGACCTGAGAATCAAATAATAGTAATTACTTCTGCGAAAAGGCTAGTAGTGGTTCTTACACTTTACTTGAAGAAAATCAAAACCAGAAAATTCAATAATAAGGTAGAAAGAACCATTAATATATACCATGAATCAAGAAAATTATATCATTTATACCTAATTACCTATAAAAATATATTCTAACAAGTCAAGAATAGAAATTTACTGTAGTTTTGGCTACAGTTCTGTTAAAAATAGTGTAAAATAAAATTTTGTAGTGCTTTACTTACCAGAATGAGTAGACAGTATTTCAAAAAACTCAGTATACAAACTATCAAAAGTGTTCTTCCATGGAGCAGTACTGGACTGAAGTACATTTCCTGTTATTGACTGATCCGATTGTAAAATTTTGGAAACGGCACTATCGTAAATGGAAAAGCCTTTACTGATGATATTCTTCAATTCAGGTTCTAATCCAATTGATAAATTTGAAATATTTTCACTTTGTGCAGGAGTCCTACCAAATTTCTTTTTGAATAGACCTCTGTTAGGTGTTGATAAAGAGTCTTCTAAAAGACGTACTGATCTTTCAAGATCGTTATCCATATTTTTTTAATAGAATAGTTGTCTATAAATTCGTATTTCGTAAACCAAAAACTTTATAAAACCATTTGTACACATAACCTAAAAAATTAACGTCAGTTAACGCCGTGCTACAAAAGTAGCGTGTAGGCAACACTTTTATCTAAGTTGTAAAAAGAGTTGCCTACCCTCTATTTACTATTTTTGATTTTACATGATGTCTACAACGACCGTCTGCAACTAGATTATATTTATAATCAGTTCAATTGAACTTTGCATGATTCAAAATATTAAGATAAAAAATATGATATATTTTTACTTTAGGTCTTAGATGTAAACCATATAAACAACAAAAATAATGTTGAAACTCCAAAGAGTATTATGGAACGCGAATAGATTTGTTTTTTAATAGTTTATTGGTTCTATTTGAATATTATTGAATTTACGTTGAATAAAGTTTCGATCCTAGTAATAACAAAGAGTACTAATTATTAGAAACAGTTTCTGCTAATGATTGACTTGATTTATATAGTCAAACTGTTGAAAAATGCAAAAAGATTCCAAGCATTATTCATCGAAACAAAAATATACCTATTAATAACCTATAAAAATAAAAACGACACAACAATCCTCATTTTCTTATTTTTTTTATTTTTTTAATTTGGTGTCATCGGCGTCGACTACTACGGCCATTAGCCTCTCATTTTCTTATTTGACTATCTATAGACTATTTTTGGTTACTGATCTCCTTTTAGTCCGTTTAAATATTATCCAATGAAATAATGATACCTGTGATCATGATTTAGGTTCTATTCAAGTTAAATAAAATTATGCTTTGTTTACCTGAGGAGTTCAATCGTTTGTCGTTTAAATATTCAGTATTCAATTTCATAGCTCTTTTAAAGCAGGCAAACGTATTACTGGTTGCATAACTTCCTCATTCCTATTCATATAAATACTTTGTTTGCACTTTTAAAAATAACTTAAAAATTGAAAACATGTCAATAATGCATACAACGGGAACAAATCAATCAATTCATTAAATGACACAAGAAAATTATTTTGAGGAAACATATTGTTCGTAACTGAAAATTGTAGTTTTCCTGCTTTAGCGAGAACATTAAAAGATAAATAAAGAATTTAAAGAGATATGTTTAATGATTACCTACCTAGACGATTACGACATATCACGTAATTTTTGTTTAATCAGACTAGTTCCCGGGTGAAAGAACTTTATTTTTGTAACATTAAGTAGATTAGCTATACCTTATATAGGTACTGTGTTAAACGCGCTTATCTTTTAATACCTAAGCTAGATAAAAAATATGTTATCTATCGCAGTTTCTTGCTATTCAGGGCCGATTCCAGTTTTTCATTGTTGTGCTAAATAATTGTATATTTCAAAATTGAAAATTATTTCGAACATTGAGTGGATTTTGTAAAATTAATAAATATCTATGCCTGGAACAAGAGAAATGGGAATTTTAACCAAAATTGTCTTTTTATAAATATTGTTTCAAAATAGATGAAAACATAATATATTGTACCTATTTTTTCCTCAATTTCATTGTGATTTTCGGATTTTATAAAGAATACAAAAATTCCCCAATAAACACAGTTAATCGGCACCGTAACTGGGCCGAAGGAGGCTTGCCGAATGCCGTACTCGGCCCGATATACGGGTGCAGCTTCGGCATATAGGTAATCCATGTCCGCGCAGCCGAATGTCGGCAGCCCATTAGATTGTAGCCGCGTTCATATATCTATATATAGTTCGGTCCGTAAGGATGCCTCCCATGTCTGCAAAGCCAAATATGGACCAGATGCGGCTTCTACTTCTAAATTACGTCAAATGGTACGGTACTCCCGGCTCAGAAGAAACCCCGATAACGGCAATTCGAGTACTCGGCTTCCCGTACATGCCGGTGTCAATCCGAGCGAATGCCAACTATTTGTGGTTTACTGGGTCTAATTTGAAATGTCCGCAATTTTGTTGTGGCCTCATTGGTCGAAATGATGGAATATAAATTTCTTTTTTAAATATATATCGGAATTTATTTTATCTCATTGCTCAAAAAACTGACCATTGAAAAAGAAGCTGACGCCGCTAAAAGTTGAAACACAGAACACAATCTTTGACTATAAGAATTCTAGTTCTATGCCATAACACAGCAAAAACAACATCAGAGGCAGTCGCGATGAAAGACAAAAGGTGTTTCAACTTCCCTAAAATTCACATACTTTGATTAAATCCAAGTATGTGCATTACAAAACAATAATGGAATGATTGATAATAATTTGTTCTTTTTTACATTTATAATGGCAAATTTATAATTGGCAAATACTAATAAAATTTCCACACTTACCTACCTTTCCTTCGTTTTTCTTTATCAATAAGTATGTGGTATAGTATTTTTCTTCTCGTTTTCACTTTCCATTTCGTTTGTTATGATTAGTAGACATTAATAAAATACCATTATTTCAAAAAAAAATTGGATACAGACGTATTTTTTATTCGATAAAGATAAAATTAGCTGAATTTTTCTGACAGTTCGCAGTCATTTGTTTTCATTTGAGGTACTTTACCTTTTACCGACATCTGGTGGATTTTTTATATACTATGCAGTTTTTGGTGCCATATTTTAAAAAGTGTTGAAACACCTGTAAAATGTCATTCACCGGGAGGCAGTTTACAAATAACATGACACATATTGCAGAGAACACACTTTTGTTGACAGAATTTGGATTTTTTTAAACACCAGTGCGGTACCAGTTACAAGTTGCTGAAATGCAGTCAATATTGTTTAACTTTTTTTATTTTATTTAAATCCTGTAATTTCATATATTTCTGCTTTCTTGTATACCTATATATAAATGTATAGTAAAAACTGCGTTTTCCTTTTTTTATTTTCTAAATATTCTGGTATAAATAATTAGGTAATATACTTCTAAACATGAAATTTGAAATAGTTACCCCGTTGTAGCTATTATTTCTGGATAGGATATGTCATACATAATAATATATACACCGGTTTTAACTACTTAATCCAAATATGTCTAATCATACACTCATCACAAAAAGCATCGCACAAGTGGATTTAGACTAAAATTATTATTATTACCTAATACTTTTCGGAAATGGCAGGTAATGTAATTTATAGGTAATTGTTTAACAGTGGTTTATTTAAATAAAATTAAAAATCAAGGAATAACAAGCAAAAATAATGAAAATAACAATTATTCTAAAAAAATTACAAAGTAACAAAGTAAAAAATCCAAGAATTATTTTAACATTTTAGTATCTGGTATTGGCACCTCTGGACTCTAATTATATATCTTATTCTCCATGAAAGGCTTCTTATCAGACCCCATATGTACCCTTAAATCTAAAATATTTCCATCCTACTCTTAAAGCCTTTTTTAGCTCATCAAGATTGTCTAGAGCGATATTGTGAGCTTCTATGAGCCAATTATGTTAATTTGGGTTTAGGTCAGAACTAACTACTATACAATATACAACTTGAATACCAACCTCTTGAAGATATTCAATTTTTATTCTGTATAAGAACATAATTCTCTTCAATAATTGGAACACACAGCTTTACATTTTCCTCAAAAACCTTCTTGATATGCCGATCTGCTTCCAGGGAACCCATACGAAACATTGTCATCTCTTTGTAACCTTCAAAACAGTTACCTCACCATATCATAATCAACCCATCTTTAAAATTTCATGCTGCATATTAGAGTGAGCAAATCGCTCACCTTCGCATATGTAAACTGGAATACGTTAATCGAAAATCTTGATGCATCCGTAAAAAAAATATCAGCCCAGTCGTTAAAATCCCAATTGACAGGCCTTAAACGTGCCACACTTTGGCTCTGATTCCAAATTCCCTAAATATGGTTCTAACCGAACAGTAAGGAACCTGAAAATAATATTTTGCTGTAACATGATGTGCTCGCTAAGTCTGCAGGCATAACGGTCATCTACAGAATTGGTGCACCTGATAAGTCCTGGACTTGGCCTTCTATTGTAGCCTCTCGTTTATCTAAACTTTCTTAAAACTCCAGAAATGCTGGATTGGTTGATTCCCAAAAGTTCAACAACATATTGCTACGATTGTCCATCTCCAAGTAAGGCCTCAATTTAGCTAACTTTTTGGTTTTTTTGTTTTTTCCAAAACGAACGTTTTAACTTTGAAATAGTTCGTATTTTACACATCTACACGTATAATAAAATGTTCTGCTAAAACCGAATATTTACTTTTAAATGTTTTTCTATTTTTAAAATAATGCGATACTTTTTAAATGACTTCAAAAAAGGAGGAGGTTCTCAGTTCGTCGGAATATTTTTTATGTATGTTCAGCAATAATTTTTAAATACGTTGTCCGATATCTATGATTCTTTTTTTGTGACAAAGGGGGTACCTCAGGGGTGGTCCCTTATAAATTTGGATAAGAATTAATAATGGAATCTATGAGAAAATCATCAAACACCATATTTAAAGTAGTTTTTCGCGTACAAATAGTATTATATACTACTTCTTTGATTTTTCTGTTTCTTTTGATGCATTTGAAATTATTTATGCGAATAAATGTTAGGTATATATTAATATTATACCTTCAACATTAAAAAAAACGCTTACCATTTGCGTTCCTCCAACTTACCCCCAGAAAGAAAAACTGTCAACAATTATGAACTCTTATTTTAAAACAACTACGGTAAGTGGTATTATTGAACAAGTACGATTTGCCCTTTACTATTTTGTACATTAATTTACTGATTTTTGTTTTCCTTATAGCGAATGTATTTTTTTATTTATAACTGTATGTAAGTACCTACTCTGAATATAACCAATACATTAATCAGATAAATATATTTAGATTAGATTAGTCCTTCCCTCACATTTAAACGTATCGACACAAGAGGTTACTTTATTTTTTTCAGGAAGAAAACGCCTTCTCTCTCTGGAAATTATGAAGATATGAAGAAGAGGGCCAAGCTAGGACGTTGCCCCCTCAAATAACTTGGACTAGTCACATCGACTGTGTTGTTTATTGTCGAATGAATTTACATTTTCATTACGCCACGGTTTATTCAAAATTCAACCTTCCGCTTTAGAAATAGTGCTAATAAAACCA